CAAATTGAGTGGCAATAAATTTTTTTTAGAAAATATGGAAAAGCACAGGGGACCTATAAAGGAACAAAAAAGTAAAGGTTACTTCCCAAATTCATTCTATATTTTGCTCTGAGAGCTCTGTCCTAAGGTAAAAATCCTTTGAGGTTGTTTTTAGGAAAGGGTTTTAAGGGAAGAAATGCCACATGTATTAAGTAGTAGTTTATGGTTATCCTTTATGCTCTGAAAATCTATCTGAAATGTAAGATCCTGGATCCCATAGGAAGGAGAGAGTTCCTACATTTAGGCTCTGATCTGCATTGCCAATCTCAGAGCTCCCATATTCAATATAAGTTTGGTATCCCAGGAATAAATTCAGAACCATTTTCAGGCATAGCAGACCTAAACTTTAACACTACTAGACTCTTTCTTCACACCCAGTCCAGATCCCAGTCCTTCGCCCACCACACTAGATGCTAGCTATTAATTTAACTAAAAATATACAGCAAACACACACACACACACACACACACACACACACACACACACACACACACACACGAGAGAAGAGAGAGAGAGAGAGAGAGAGAGAGAGAGAGAGAGAGAGAGAGAGAGAGAGAGAGAGAGAGAGAGGGAGGGAGAGAGATGAGAGAGAGAAACTTACTCAAAATCACATGGCAAATTAGCAAGCTAAAAATGCTGAACTGACTTCCTATTTCACAGTATGTTCTATCAGGACTAAGCCAAGCAACCACAAAGAAATGACTAGATCACTTGCAAATATTTGCTTATTCTACTGCTTTGGGAGTCATTTATGTTAAGTACTTATTTCTAGAGTGAAAAATGACACAGTCCATCACCTTTGATTTTCTTATGAAGTAGGTTCTTTCATATTTTTAACTAAATACTTGTCTTCTGTTCTTGCCAGGGGTACAACCACTTTGCAAACTGTTACCTAGAGACACATGTTTGTCCTTGCTCTCTTACAGCAGGTATACTCTGTAAACAAAATCTAAAGCTAAGGACTCTAGTGTGTGTTCCAAATGGACAGAGATATCCCACTAAAACACAGTCAGATCAAGCTACTTCCCTTGTGAAGATCCCAAGCTCTAATCGAAGACCGCTGAGTGTGCCATACTTTTACAATTCCATGCTAGTTTTCGCTTTGATGTCTTTCTCTTATCCCTTTCTTGCCTAGAAAATATCTGCTTATTTTTCAGTATCTACTTCAACCATTATATCTAATAGCATATATATATAGTACTTTCCAGGATGATTCACTGGTGAAATGCAGTTGTTCATTGGCAGGTAATATATCTTACATATCTTATCCTCAAAACCTAGTGTAGCACCCAGTACATTCCTCTACTTTTACCTTAAACTTAAGTAAACTTATATAGAAATTAACTAAGTGATTGATCAAGACAAAAGCACACGTTTTTTACATTCTCCCGATGATGGTGTTATCAGTTATCTCATGGGGGCAGACTCTGCCCCTCACTTGTTTCTACACTTACATGTCTACAATAAGCATTCAAAAAGCTAATAAAAATGCTTGTATTTGCAATACAAACTATCAATGTTTTAAAATTTGAGAGCAGAGAAAAAGGTAGAGGAGCTTAATATGATTATGGAAAAAACATATAATAATAAGTATAGTACTATGGAATGATAAAAAGTATCTGTTATGTGAAAAGTGCCTTGCACGTGTGAAGGACAATAATTAGCTACAGGAAAGGAAAAGAGATTGACTGGAGAGGAACATTCGAGAGTATAACTAAAGGATTAGATGCCTCTTAGACTACAATTAATTAAGAAACCTAAAAGTTTACCAGAATTTAAAGTCTGATGTTAAAAAAAAATGCTGCTTACAAAACTGTTATAAACCTCAGATTGTTCAGTAGATTCAAATCCATTTGAAATTGCACAGGATCAAAGGAAGTAAAGAGTGTAAACATCTTAGCTGCTGAAAAACTTCCTCAAGATACTTGATGAGATCATTACCTGCCAGATTTTCAATGTAGCCTGTACTGATCTAAATTTGGGGTGAGTAGAAAAATATGTTAGAGAGAATGAGTTTTGACAAAAGGGAGAAAAGGATATAGCAAAATACATGATTAAACAAATAGAAAGTTCTGGCTCAGGCTTTTATCTGGATGGAAATATATCTAAGGATGCTGAATATGTTTCAGAACTTAATTTGTTCATGTGCATATGAACTTCTGTATTGGAAACATGTTCACACAATAAGAAATAAAAAAATGAAGGGGGAATGAAAGGTTTCTTTGGCCAGTGGGAGAAGCTAGAGAGTGAATCACACTCTGTTCTAGTGTGCAGGCTGAGGAGGAGTGTTTCAGGAAAGGCAAGAGATTATTTGAAATATTCTCACATGTTATGAATATGAAGGAGGCATGGGAATCCTTATTAAAACTCAAGCTCTATTTCCTAGATTCTTTGCTTCTTTTGTTTGAAATTGTTGTGTAAGAATTTTAAATTCTACTTTTGTATTGTCATCTACTCTTTCAAATCTGAAGAGAAAAAAATAAAAGTGACAATCATTAGCCCCAACCTCTCTCCGTATCCTGAGAGCAATTACAAAATCAGAAAGAAGGGCTTTCTCTCCTTAAGCAATCTATTCTTAAAACAGGTTACCTGAGGAAATTCCACAAGCTATCTTACTATTTTGCTTTTCAATAATACTGATTACTCCAGTTTTCCTAATGTTTAATGTAAAGTGCCTGCAATACATTCTCATACTATTCTATTTTTGTTGATGCAGTTACTTAGGCTTTCTATGCTCCAAAAATAAAATTTAACAGAATCACAAAATCATCGATCATCCTCTAGTCTCACAGGCAAAGTAATATTTCCCAGATGTTGATATATTGCCAAACACCTCCACCCCAGCCCACAGATTCTGTAACTGTCTGGTAATTCACAATTCTATAAAATAAGAAATACTTCTGTACATTAGTTTCTTATTATTCATTTTTTCCACAAGACTACTGTTAAGCTCTTCCCTCATAGGTTATGTTTTTGAGGACATGTGTGATTCTTTCAGCTTTGTTCATACACCTGCTCTATGCCTCACAGATTCTTCCTTCTGATCTTAATAAACATAATCAGTAAAGCCTGCACAGAAACCATATTTTGCATTATACATTTGTGTGTGGGGAGGGGGGGTTTGGTTTTTTTTTTTTTTTTTGCCAAATATCGATAGTAAAAAAAAAAATTGCCATCTTCTATTTGTAAACATTAACTTTCTGGATCTGTTATCACTCCATTGTTTAATCTATTTTTTCTTCTTACTACAAAGTGAATTAAATTTATCTCCATAAAGAATCTGACATGTGTAGCTGATTTCATATAATTTTATTTGGAATTTGACTTATAAAGAATTGAATGATTGCATTTCCACATGTATCATATAGTCATTATTTTATCAATAGCCATCATTATTACCTTTGAAACATATTTCATTAGTTTGTTTGGAATTACTGGCTAAGAATTTTTTTCAGTTTTTCCTTGCCTTATTTCCTTGTCTAACTCTTCAAAGCACTGTTTTCAAATTTATTTTCTATGTCCACTCTGTTAATTACCATAATTTCAAAAAATTTACTTAAAAGAGAGAAATGTGCATCTTTTTTTGTTTTTCTAGTACTTAGAACAAACCATTGCGCTACCATCATTAAAATTAAAGTTGGCTTTTAAGAAACATTTTTCAGCTTATTTCATTTTTGACGTCAGATCCAAGTTTCAGTTCAACAAAATTTACTCATACATACTTCTTTGAAATGGAAATAAAAATTAAAAATTATTATAATAATAATTAAAACCAAAGAAATAGAAAACATGAAAATTATACATATTTTATTTACTTTATAGCTTAAATATATATTTTAATTCTGAAAATTGATATCACAAAGTCTGGCTTATTTAGCATAGCTTCCACCAAAACAATAAAAGATTTAGCACTAATTCAAAAGCTATTCAAAAGTATAAAACTATATTCAGATTAATCTAAAATATAAGTGGAGCAGGATTGACTGAATAATCTTGATAGTGAACTCCATATTCTGTTTCATTTTGCTTTGTTGATATAGTCTCTCAGCATGGAAGAATTGTGAAGTTTACTTTAGTCTCTTAAAGTTTAAATAAAGTTTCTAATAAGTAACTTACTGATATGTTACCTGAAATTAATTGAAGACTACCTCAGGTTTATTTTTCTCAAAATGTCTATTTCCAAAAAACATTTTAAGACAATATTAAAAGTATGAAATTATTATTCATATAAACAAATATATATATATATATATATATATATATATATATATATATACATGCACAGATAGGTGTGTGTATATATTCATGTATATAACTTTCAAGTCTCTACTCCAACTTTCATTATTATAATTGAGATTATTACTGTAAACAATTATTGCTTTAGAATTCTTAACATCTCCTACACAAACTTTCTGGATCCAAATGTTCATTATAAACCTAAAAGAAGATTTAACTCCAGGAAAATGTCCATTATAAACCCTAAAGAACATTTAACTCCAGGAAAATAACATATGTTAAAGTACTCTCTGGTGTTATTTCTGCTATGAGCAGTAATATTTTCCTACATTTAAAAACCAATGAAATACATATTATTAAAATATAAACAGAAATTAGCCTTTACTCATAAAATAATACATAAGATGCCATAAAATGTTAAATTATGTCCCAACTTAGTAGCTGAGATTATTAAACTGGAAGGAGAAATTGCTTTGGTTATCATGAACTAAAACAGTGATTTCTTCATCTTGGTTAACATATGATATTGAGTTTCAGATATATTTTACCCAAATTACAGCAGACCACAGTTGATTACTCTAATATTCTGATGCCTAGTGATCATGCAAAATGAAACCACAATCATAAACAAGCCACACATATCAAAGTAAAATAGATACTGATTAGACTCCTTTTCAGCATTTGTTTAAAGTACAGAAGATTAACTTGCCAGTTTGGTTACCTACCAGCAATGATTGGATGCTATCACTGTTATCACGTCTACAAACAGCACCAAAGTATAACCCCTCTTCCCATAACATAAGCACCATGCCAAAGAGACAACCATCGTAAAAGATCAGATGGTGAATAATCTGGAGTGGCTGAAATCCAGTTAGTAGAGGAAAGAGAAAAGAGAAGTGGCTCAATAGGGCATTTCCTGAACCTTGGTTGGGATTTCAGTTAAGGAAGAAGAAATGAATCAGCAGTTTCAAGTAAGGGAAGTTCCTTTCTGGATCTAAAGTTTGCTACCAAATTGAGAAACAGCACTCCAGCAAAACTACTCCAGCACAGTGCGGTGGCCACAGTAAAAGCTCGCATATATTCCATTATTGCCCCATAAGTAACATTTCTTTTTTTTTTTATCTTTCATTTTTTTATTTATTTTTTTTGAAGGAATATTTAATATTAACATTGTGAGTTATTATCTTTTGCATATCCAAGTTAGACATTTCAAACAAATCGTCATTTATATTTACAGTATACAGATGCAAAGCTTTAATTTCCCACTAAATCATCACTTTCTTAAAATGGTACATGTGATGTTATGAAATTAGCTATTAAGCATTCGAAATAGTGGAAAAGAGGTCCTTTCTTCAGTCTTTTTTTTTTTTTAATATATATATATATATATATTTTTTGCCCCCCCTCCCTCCCTCCCTCACATCCCTTCCCTCCCCAGAGTTTTATGTCCATTGGTTGTACTTATGTGCATGTATAAAAGTCCTTCGGTTGATCTATTATCTCCCCCAGATCTTCCTCCCCTCCCCGCTGTAATTTGACAGTCTGCTTGTCGATATACTGTCTCTATATCTATCTTTTGGTTCATCAGTTTATAATGTTCTTTATTATCCACAAATGAGTGAGGTCATGTGGTGTTTTTCTTTCAATGACTGGCTTATTTCACTCAGCATGATGTTCTCCATTTCCATCCAAGTTGCTGCAAATGATGAGAATTCCTTCTTTTTTATGGCAGCATAGTATTCCATTGTGTAGATGTACCAAAGTTTTTTGATCCAATCATCTGCTGATGGGCACCTAGGCTGTTTCCAAATTCTAGCTATTGTAGATTGTGCTGCTATGAACATAGGGGTGCATATATCCTTTCTGATTGGTGTTTCTAGTTTCTTGGGATATATTCCTAGGAGTGGGATTACTGGGTCAAATGGGAGTTCCATTTTCAGTTTTTTGAGGAAACTCCACACTGTTCTCCACAGTGGTTGCACCAGTCTGCATTCCCACCAGCAGTGCACAAGAGTTCCCTTTCCTCCACAGCCTCGCCAACACCTGTCGTTTGTTGATCTGTTGATGTTGGCCATTCTTACAGGTGTGAGATGGTACCGCATTGTTGTTTTGATTTGCATCTCTCGGATAATTAGTGACTTTGAGCATGTTTTCATGTGCCTTTTGGCCTTCCTTCTGTCTTCTTTTGGAAATATTCTATTTAGGTCTTTTGCCCATTTTTTAATTGGATCATTCATCTTCCTTTTATTTAGTTGTATAAGCTGTTTGTAGATGTTGGAGATTAAACCTTTATCAGTGGTAACATTTGCAAATATGTTCTCCCACATCGTGGGCTTTCTTGTTGTTTTGTTGATGGTTTCTTTTGCTGTAAGAAAGCTTTTTATTTTGATGTAGTCCCATTTGTTTATTTTCTCTTTAGCTTCCATTGCCCTAGGGGCAGTATCAGTGAAGTTCTTTTGGCATATGTCTGAGATTTTGCTGCCCGTGGATGCTTCTAGTATTTTTATGGTTTCCCGTCTGATGTTTAAGTCCTGTATCCATTTTGAGTTTACTTTTTTGTATGGTGTAAGTTGGTTATCTAGTTTCTTTCTCTTGCATGTGTCTGTCCAATTTTCCCAACACCATTTATTGAAGAGACTGTCTTGACTCCATTGTATATTCGTGCCTCCTTTGTCAAATATTAATTGAGCATAGTGATTTGGGTTGATATCTGGGTTCTCAATTCGATTCCATTGATCTATATGTCTGTTTTTGTGCCAGTACCAGGCTGTTTTGAGAACAGTGGCTTTGTAATACAGTTTGAAGTCTGGTATTGAGATCCCTCCTACTTTACTCTTCTTTCTCAGGATTGCTGTGGCTATTCGGGGTCTTTTATTGTTCCAAATGAACTTTTGGAGAGTTCTTTCTATATCAGTGAAGTATGCCGTTGGTATTTTAATGGGGAGTGCATTGAACCTATAGATTGCTTTAGGAAGTATGGACATTTTGATGATGTTGATTCTACCAATCCATGAACATGGTATGTTCTTCCATCTGTTTACATCTTTCTCTATCTCTTTTTTCAGTGTCGTGTAGTTTTCCGCATATAGGTCCTTTACTTCCTTAGTTAAATTTATTCCTAGGTATCTTAATTTTTTTGGTGCGATGGTAAATGGAATTGCTTTTTTAGTCTCTGTTTCTATAAATTCGCTGTTGGTGTATAGAAATGCCATAGATTTCTTGGCGTTAATTTTGTATCCTGCTACATTGCCAAATTCATTTATTAAGCCAATTAGTTTTTTAATGGAGTCTTTTGGGTTTTTTATGTACAATATCATGTCGTCTGCAAATAAGGATAGCTTTACTTCTTCTTTTCCAATTTGGATGCCTTTTATTTCCTCCTCTTGTCTAATTGCAATGGCTAGTACTTCCAGTACTATGTCAAAGAGGAGTGGCGAAAGTGGGCATCCCTGTCTTGTTCCTGTTCTTAGAGGGAATGGTTTTAGTTTTTGCCCATTGAGTATGATGTTGGCTGTGGGTTATCATATATAGCTTTTATTATGTTGAGGTATGATCCTTGTACTCCCACCTTGTTGAGAGTTTTTATCAGGAAAGGGTGTTGGATTTTATCAAATGCTTTTTCTGCATCAATTGATATGACTATATGATTTTTATCTTTCAACTTGTTTATGTGATGTATCACGTTTATTGATTTGCGGATATTGTACCATCCTTGCATTCCTGGAATAAATCCTACTTGGTCATGGTGTATGATCTTTGTGATGCTCTGCTGGAGCCGATTTGCTAGAATTTTGTTGAGGATTTTGGCATCTATGTTCATGAGGGATATTGGCCTGTAATTCTCTTTCATTGAGTTGTCTTTATCTGGTTTTGGTATTAGGGTGATGCTGGCTTCATAGAAGGAGTTTGGAAGTGTTCCTTCCTCTTGGATTTTTTGGAATAATCTGAGGAGGATAGGTTTTAGTTCTTCCTTGAATGTTTGGTAAAACTCTCCTGTGAAGCCATCTGGCCCTGGGCTTTTGTTTGCTGGAAGTTTTTTGATGACTGTTTCAATTTCTTCCCAAGTCACTGGTCTATTTAGATTTTTAGATTCTTCCTGATTGAGTTTTGGAAGGTTGTATTTTTCTAGGAATATGTCCATTTCCTCCAGGTTGTTCAGTTTATTGGAATAGAGCTGTTCGTAGTATTTTGTAACAATCATTTGTATTTCGGCGGGATCTGTTGTTATTTCACCTCTTTCGTTTCTGATTTTGTTTATTTGGGTCCTCTCTCTTTGTTTCTTGGTTAGCCTGGATAGGGGTCCATCTATCTTGTTTATTCTTTCAAAGAACCAGCTCTTGGTTTTGTTGATCTTACGTATTGTTTCTTTGGTATCTATGTCGTTTATCTGTGCTCTGATTTTTGTTATTTCCTTCCTTCTGCTTACACTGGGATTTTCTTGTTGCTCTTTTTGTAACTCTTTGAGTTGTAAAGTTAGATCATTTGTTACCCTTTTTTCTAGTTTTTTGCAATAGGCTTGTAGGGATATGAACTTCCCTCTCAAAACTGCTTTTGCTGTGTCCCATAGATTTTGGATAGTTGTGTTTTCATTGTCATTTGTTTCCAGGATGTTTTTAATTTCTTCCTTGATTTCTCTGGTAACCCAGTCCTTGTTTAATAGCATGCTGTTTAATCTCCATGTGTTTGATTTCTTTGGATTTTTTTCGTTGTAGTTAATTTCCAGTTTTATGCCACTATGATCTGAGAAGATGCTTGATATGATTTCTGTCTTCTTGAATTTGAAGAGACTTTGCCTATGTCCCAAAATGTGGTCTATCTTTGAGAATGTCCCATGTGCGCTTGAGAAGAATGTATATTCTGTGGCTTTGGGGTGGAATGTTCTGAAGATGTCAATTAATTCCATCTGGTCTAGCGAGTCATTTAGGATTGATATTTCTTTGCTGATTTTTTGTTTAGATGACTTGTCAAAGGGTGACAGTGGGGTATTAAGATCTCCTACTATGATTGTATTGCTATTAATCTCTCCCTTAATGTCCTCCAGCAGTTTTTTTATATATTGGGGTGCTCCCATATTGGGTGCATATATATTTACCAGGGTTATTTCTTCTAGTTGGATTGCTCCCTTTAGTATTATGAAGTGGCCTTCATTATCTCTTGTTATGTCCTTCACTCTGAGATCTAACTTGTCAGATATAAGTATTACTACCCCAGCTTTTTTTTCATTTCCATTTGCCTGGAAAACCTTTTTCCATCCCTTCACCCTCAGTCTGTGTGCATCTTTTTTTCTGAGGTGGGTTTCTTGTAGACAACAGATATATGGGTCTTGTTTTCTTATCCAATCCATTACCCTATGTCTTTTGATTGGAGCATTTAGTCCATTTACATTTAAGGTTATAATTGATAGATACTTATTTGACGCCATTTTTATTCTATACCCCTGTGTTCCTTCTTTGCTTTCTATTTCTTTAATTTTACAGTAGACCCGTTAGCATTTCTTGCATTGCTGGTTTGGTGGAGATAAATTCCCTTAGTCTGTTTTTGTCTGTGAAGCTCCTGATTTCCCCTTCAATTTTGATTGATAGCCTTGCTGGGTACAGTATTCTTGGATTCAGACCCTTCCTTTGCATGACTTTGTATATTTCATCCCATTCCCTTCTGGCCTGATAAGTTTCTGTGGAGAAATCAGTTGCTAGTCTGATGGGGGTTCCTTTATATGTAACTTTCTGTCTCTCTCTGGCTGCTTTTAAAATTCTTTTTTTGTCGTAGGTGTTTGCCAGCTTAATTATAATGTGTCTAGGGGTTGATTTTC